GCTACATCTATCCACTTTCTCACCAAAAACGATTAAAATCCTTTGAACAAAGTATTTTGTTCCTAACGTCAAAAAGTCTCTTCTTTGTAAAATGGTGACCTAGTATACCAGGTTTTCGTCAATGTTTGCGTTGAGTTCAAGAATACGTAGAGATAAAAAAAAAGTGGCATTAGCCTTATACGCAACGGTGTCCAAGCAGGAAAACAACAGACTGTCGCCGAACCCTCGCGGCGCTCAAACGAGAGTCTGCCGGCTGCCAAAGTAGAGAGAGGCTCCCGCTGTTGATGCATGGTGTCGTTACAACGTATTAGCGAGCGAGTGATAGCTTCACTATAAATACTTAGGGCGGAGGGGCGACGGGGAGGACGACGCCTAGGTACACACGCCCACGCAAACCCAAGGGGCTCGTCTTTGGGAAAGGTCCAGACACCACAAAGGCGAGGGACCGGCTGTGACTGCAGCATAAGGGCGCGGCCGCCGGGACGAGGACGGCGCGGAAGACGATGACCAGACCGGTGTTCGTCGGCGCTCGCACTCTACACGCCCGTGCCCCACCCCATGTGCGCGCACGCACACCTGTGCGAGGCTTCTTGCCCGAGTCTGAAAAATAAAAATGTGCGAGACGAAAATACCAAGCCGCTGCGCGTCCCTTGCGCGACCTGGTGCCGCTGAATAGGCCCTTGGTCTCGGCCGGCTCTCGGACCTGCAGCGAGATGTCATCGCGCGATGGCTGCGGTGCCAGCGGGGTCGCCAAACGGCACTCCGAGAATAGGACGGAAAAATAAAACGAAAAAAGACACATTCACAAAAAGGATTCATTTGAACGCACGCATTCTGCCCGGCAGAGCAGGTGGTGGGGTGTGGAGGAGCGGGAGGGGGCGAAATTACGTAAGAATGAAGAGTTTGGCGCGCCCAGTTACGTAAGGTTTTGAGGCATTCCTCTCGGAATGAGTCACAACAACAGAGCGGGTGGGATCGAACCCAGCAGCTCTTCGGGAGCCCTACCGCTTACTCTATAAATAAAAGTGTGTGAGGTTCATCGCGAAAATACGTGTCAAACAAACTCCCTTCGAAGTTGACGACTGGAGTCGTCCTGTCTCGCTCCCTCGGGTTGACATGCTGCGTCGTGCCGGCGAGGCCCTGAGGCCCTGTAAGCGCGGGACATGTGCATCGAAACGATTAAACACTGACTAATGTTTGCCACGTCGTGTATAATGAGGGATTAATGAGATATCACGGCAGATCGTTCTCTCAGGGCTCATCACCGATACCTGGCGAGCGGCGCCTGACGCGGCCTGACAGTGTCAAAAATATCGTTGTAAATTTCCAAAATGTTTGTGAACTCGAATTATAATCTAAGTTGTAAATTTACGAGAGCACATTTTTAACTCGCCCAATGGATTTCAAGTCAATTACGTACTATGCATACATGTATTTTGATGATTACAAATTGTAATTTTACAACTTGCGTCAAGGAAATTTTTCTTATAAACCCTCCTACTATTTTTCACAGAGGAAGGCGACGCTGTGCCATCGCGTGCATAGAATGGCACGGTGATGCCACGCTTTGAGTCGGTCTGGACGCGCAGGGACCCGCCCCTGTGCGAGGCGCGCCGGGGCGGGGCGGCGCCGTGCGGGCAGGCTTGCGGCGTGGCGGCCAGTCCGCTGCGGGCCGCAAATAGATACCACGGCCGCTGCGTTCGCACCGGCTCAAAACGGTGGCACGCCCCGCCACGCCCCGCCACTGCGCGGCGCACCAGGCGCGCCCCACTGCGGGTGGGACTTAACAGTTTGTGAATTGGAAGAGGGTTGATCGCCCGTCCCGACCGTCACGACCCGCGTGGTGGGGGTGATCCACGATCCACTGACCACTCTCTCCTTGCACCAGCGTCCCACCGCTGAGAGAAATGGTGACGTCGAAACGATTCCGAAAGGATATTTGCATCGGGAATATCGAGCTGCGCACTTATTTTCTCTTAAAAACTCTTCGCACAGGGCGTTAATCGTATTGAAACGCGAAAAACAGCATGTGGCATACGCAAACCTCTACCGGTCGAGAAGATAAAAACCGCGAGCGGGGGAAACCTCTACTCCGTACTACTGCAAGGTTCTGAAAATAGCGACGCCGCCCGATGCCTTCGGCTCGGAGGGCTGCTGGGCTGAGCGTGACCCGGTGCTCAGGGTTCGGCCAGGAAGGGCTTGGGCGGTACACTGTCGGAAAAACAGCTCTAATTTGATAACAATTAAAAATGGTGGTGAGAAACACCATTCAAAATATATTCAAAATAAAATTTTACTGGCAGTTTCAAACTGTACTTCCGTAGAACAACGGCAGTTTTTAATTGTAAAAGCAGTAGGCGTGTTGTTGTTGTTTTTTGCAGTGTATAAGGGCGTTTGGGACTGGGGTTGAAAGGCAGCATGATCAGCACCACGGCCCATACCACCTCCGGGACAACAGACTTTGATGGAGACAGCCTCCGGGTGCCTCCCGTGTCCAACTCCGGCCCCGCGACCAGCCGCCCCGCCCCGCCCCGCCCCGCCACGCCCCGCCTCACCTCACGCGCAGCGGCAGCGCCCTATAGTTTTGCGGGCGCTCGATTGGGCGCAGCACAAGTCAGCACAGTCCCACCAAACGTAACTCTATCCTGCGCGTCTGAGAGAGAGCGCGGTAGAGGGGCGCCTCGGCCAGCGCCCCCCGCCTCCCTCGCGGAGGGCCCAACTTAGCGCGCCCGGTCCATATAAGTCCCCCCCCTCCGCAGGGCCCCGGCCCCAGGCCCCGGTGCCAGCGCGGCCGGCTGAGCTGCCCCAGCCCGGGCCGCCACTCGGGTGCTACCCGTGGCCCAGAGTGGTCGCGAGGGCGCGACCGGCCGCCCAACCAGACGAGGGGAAAGAAATGAGCTTGTTTGCGAATATTTGTCGCTATTCATAACTCGCCTTGCTTGTTGCCAAATTTTATTATCTCCTCGCTTGTTTACTTTATTACTTTCAGCATTTTTCGGCGGGAGAAAAAATAAGGATTGTAGTTTCGGTTGATACAAATATTATTGCGCTTTCTAAATAAATGCATCCCACTTTTTCATCAAATTTCGTCTTTAAAAAAAGTAATTTGGACCCATCAACTCATCAGAAAATAAGAGGCATTCACTCACACAGCAGGTCGATCGTGAGCAAACGCCATCTCGTAATCCAGCTCAAACCAGTTACAGAGGCACAGAGTTGCGGCGAGCTCACGACGAAGTAGCCTCACGATTTAAATTATATAAAACTCGACCACCCTTTAGATTAACTAGGTGGCCGTGGTAGATATTCTTCGATGTCAGTTTAAATTGAACATCCATTTAAACATAAAAAACACTGAATTACAACCAATTACATGTCCTTTCTTTATAATCAATAGTTTGCAATTCAGATGGTCGTAGCTTGATTTCTGCTACGTCCTAGGCGAATATTTGTTTGCGCAGGCGCGCGTCGCCTCGCGATCGACAAGCCATGTCAGCACCTGTCAAACCTCCAACAGTAACCAAACCTGCCAATGGCACGTTGTTGTCGTTGAGGAGGCGGAGCGGGCGGGGCGGATGGGGCAGAGCAGGACAGGGCGGGGCAGAGCAAGACAGGGTGGGGTGAGGCGGGGAGAGGTGTACCCCACCGTCCGTTACCCCCGACGTTCTCTTGCCAGGAGGAATCTGGCCCCGGGTCCATTCGATCAGAACGGCTTCCCGTCCGCGCGAACACCGGCCACTACCTCCCCACCCAACACACCCTCCCAACTGGCCCTGCCGGCTCAAAAATAAATCAAGAATCATTTATATTATTTTTCTTATTTTTTTTTAAATGTGAGGGAGGCGGCGTTTGCTAGGAAAAGGCTTGACGTGGCTTGTCATGTCCTCCGGAGTTATTTGTGTTCCATACTTTCTTAAAATTTGTACAAGTTTTCGACCGTGATGCAGATTCATTCCAGCCCCGACCCGAATGCGCCTGGTAGGTGGTATGCGTAAGACACACGTTTGTTGCCTACATTGCAGGAGACCACGCCCTCGCTGGGGCGCCTAGCAAGACAACGCGCCCATTGTTCTCTTCATCCTTTCGTCCGTTTACCCCCACCCCCTCCAGCGCCCCAGACGCTACGCCCCCCTGCTTCCTCTGAATGAGTCGGCTCGTGACGCATGATTGTCCCGCAAAGAAAAGAGAGGGAGGTGCGGGGAAAGGGGGAAGGGGGAGGGAGAGAGACTCGTGAGGATGAGTAGGCAGGGGTGTGCACATTGTGGTGTGTACTCGCGCGGCATATGACCGACCAACGGCCAAAAAATGTGTCTAGGAAGGCTTGGCGGAGACGGGCAGAGACGGGCGGGGCGGGTTTGGCGTCTACCAGCCATGAAGTACTGTGCACCGGGTGACTCACGAAACGTGTTTGGTCTCATGAGGCGCTCAGAATAAACACAGTGAAAGTAGCGAAGCTATTCACGCGACGGACGGACGGCGCGGCGCGCGTCGAAACGCCTGGAGGGGAGGCAACGGCGGCGCACGGGTGTGCGCTGAGCGGGTGTGTTGCCTACCGCGCCAGGCGCTCCAGCCGCCCGGTGGGGAGGCAACGGCGGCGCACGGGTGTGCGCTGAGCGGGTGTGTTGCCTACCGCGCCAGGCGCTCCAGCCGCCCGGTGGGGAGGCAACGGCGGCGCACGGGTGTGCGCTGAGCGGGTGTGTTGCCTACCGCGCTAGGCGCTCCGTGAGCCCTTGGGAGGAGGCAACGGTGACGCACGGGCGTAGCTAACTTGTTGCCTTCGGCGCCTATGGACCAGAGTACCCGACCTCACGTCGCAGTGATCAGGCTCCGACCGAGCTTACTTGACACGAGCTGTTCCCAACCCGGGCCGACCCAGCTGCCGGGGCCGGCCGCGGCGAACACCGCGTCCTTTCCCCACAATACACCAAAATGTGAGCAGATCCAGAATTAGACGACATCGCAAAAACAGGGGCGAAACTATTTCGAGGGTACGCAGTGCAGGCGCGCGGCCCCCTCCTCGACGCACCCGGGCGGACACCATGCCAGCTACCGCCAGCAAACGTGTTGCCCTGCCGGGGGAGCGGCGCCGGGTGGGCCGCAAGCCTCCCCGCTGATCCCTCGCTACCGCCTACAACACGAGCATCACTCTTGACGCCGGTAGGCAGAGCAAGAGCTCCACCACGTTTTGAAACACCTCCGCAAGAACCAAGTTTTAACTCTCTACGAACGACACGGAAATAAAAGCTTGGCTACAGCCTACGGGATATCATAAATATTAAGCTTACTAAAAATTAGCCTTGAAGCTTAAAGATTGGCCATTTACACTGGAAAAACAAAGGTGTGATGTCCTACCTTTCCAGGGGCGTTAAACTCGTTTTAGGGGTGTTAAAGAGTATATTTTCAGTTTCTTCAAAATATTTTCTATATGAGCAAACCAATCACATTCTGAGATTCATTATCGCATTCCACACAAAATTCTGCGTCAAACGAGCCTACATGTGATAGGGTTCAGATAAGCGGTCAGCACATGAAGAGCAAGTCAAAAAGTACAAAAAATGAAATTAGTCTATGCCATTTTTGAACAGAACCCCATCATATGTAGGCTCGTTTGGCGCGGAATTTTGCGTAGATTACGAAAATAGGTTTTAGAATCCAATGTTGTTCCATGGGAAAGAAATATTTCGCAAAAACAGGAATTGTAATGCCTTTGGAGCTTTAACGCCTTTTAAAGGTAGGATGTCCTACCTTTGTTTTACCAGTGTAGCTCTGTTGCACAATGTTTTAGTGCCCAGTTTTTTTTTAAGCTACATAATTAAATAAATGCCTAGTGTTAAGCTATGACTTGGCTATTAGCTAATCCCTCCTTTGTTGTGTAACCATGATCCTCATCCTGCTAACTAAAACGAATGACCCACACCACATAAGCTCCTCTCAGAGGCTGAAGCTGGCGGCGTCCTAAGCCCACCACCCCCGCGGTCGTGGCCTCAACGTGGAGCCCAACAGCCGCCCTGGTGCCCCACTCTGGCTGCCGCGGCCGGCGCCGCACTGCTGCAGCTCCGGGGACGTCGAGTGTGTCAGGAAGGAGGAACAGGGGTAAAGTAGTAGCGTGCAGGTGTTAATAAATGGAGCAATGTGCCAAGCGGCGGCGAAGCAGGGCGAGGCCAAGGTGAGCAGGCGGTTCACAATAACTCATAACGCGTACTCGGCGCATCCAACAGTGGGTCAGACTTTCAACAGTGAAACACGGCTGTTATATGCTTGCCACGGTGGGAATTCGTGCCAACGGTCAGACTGTCTGCTGTAGCGATAGAACAGCCTAGCCGGTGTCCCGCCGTTGGGTTAGCTAGCTGTTATCTTGCGGCTGTTCGAAGGAACAGCTCAGCGGCGCGGCAGCGCGGCACACCGGCTGCGCGGCTGCGCCTCTCGGTCTACCTCGCTGATCTCGGGAGATACCGGCGCCCAGCTCGCGCAAACAACCCTCACGTCAGAAAAAAATAAATAATTCCAAAATAGCCGAACGTTGCGTGGGTTTTATTCATGGGTCCCCCCGGGGGGACCGTCCCTTTTAACGAGGGTGGCGAGGGATGAAATACGCCTTCCGACTGCGGCCACGCCGTGGGTCGGTGGTTGGGTGCAGACTGACAGACTACATCGAACACCTGGTGAAATACGCGATATATTTTGCATTATTTATGTATTCCTCTTCCTCTGACCCTCGGCTGCGACCCGGCGACGTGACCGGTTACCCGTGGGGAGGCGCGTGTAGGAGCGCAGGCGGGGCGCCCACCAGCGGGGCGGGCGTGCGCGCGCGCGTGCAGGGCAGGGGGTGGATAACTCCTGAATTGGGTGTACAAATTTCAAGAATTGGATTTGAATTGGCTTGAACTGGCTTGAATTAGATTTGGACTGAATTGGTTGAATTGTTTTTGAATTGGTTTGAATTATCAATGTGATTTTATTTTACTGATTTAGAGTGAATTGGCTGGAATTGACTTGAATTGAATGTAAATTGCCTTGAGATGGACAGAATTAGTTGAGTTATTTTTGAATTCATTTGAATTACCTCTGAATTATGGTGAATTAAATTGAATTGCTCTGAATTAGTTTGAATTGGGCAGAATTAGGGGTGTACATTTTTCAGGGGAGTTATCCACCCCTCGGTGCAGGGGAGGGAGACGAGCGCCCACCAGCGGGGCGTGCGTGCGTGCGCGCGTGCGTGCAGGGGGAGGAGACGAGCGCCCGCCGGCGGGACGTGGCGCCGCCGCGCCGCTTGTGGATCTTAAATAAAACTGACAGAGTTACGTAAGGTCCTTGTCAAGGCCTGCTGAGGCCGAGCAGACTAGCCTACACCCCTCCTCCCTCCACCATCACCTCCACCAGCTACCTCTTCCTCTCGACCCGGCGACAACAGCCGCGGCTTAAACCCCAAACCTCTCGTCGTCACCACGCGAACAATTCTGTGGCGTCTGGAATCATCTGCGCGCGTGACAAACCTTCGCGGGGGTTTAATTACTGGCACACTGTGAAAGTAGTGGGTGTCCGGGTGAGTCAACAGCGGCGCGACGGGCGCCACTTTAAACTTGAATCGGTGCCATAGGCCCCCTCTCGCACGGTCAAGCTCGGCGGAGGCGCAAACCAGTGGGTGCTCCCCCCTCCCCCGTGCGGCGGATGTGACACGAGGGGCAGTAAAGAGTTTCTCTCAGCGAAACCAAAGTTCATAAACTGAGCCGGGTGGCAGAGACGCGTGCGTGTGGGCTGCGAGGGCGGGGGCGATGGGGTCCATACGCCATGAACTTCATGGACCATGGGCTCGTGAGCCTACTCCGCCGAGCAAGGTGTGACGGACAAGGCTAAAGATTTTAATTTTTCAAAAGAGTAGTTTTGGGCAATTTCATGAGAAATACTTGTTTGTCGAATTGACATTTTTTCAGTTTTCTGACAACATGCCCTGCAAGTTTTTCCATATATTTTTTTTCTGGAAAAGTTTCAAATCTTTCCGGAAATATTACGGAATTCAAAATCCCTAGACGAGGCAGATGGACATTAGGGACCCTTCATGTCGTAGCTTTATTTTACTTCGCAAATGACGTCGGCCGACGTCAGCACAACGACTGTGTGAGTGTGCCGTGCCGTGTGTGAAAATGACTGAGAGCCGAGTGAGCACGGGTGCACGGGTACCGCGCTGTACGCTTGTTTTCGCAGTGGGGGTTGAAAAGGAGGCGGTACGGGGGG